TTATCCCTAGTTCCTATATCTAGTTCTAACTTAGTGTTCGGAAAAATATATTACATTCTGAAAATATAGATCAGACAGACATATAAAGCAGTTTGACAAAGAGCAGCCCAAGTTCATGTGACCTTTTTATGTAAGTAAATAAGATGAAGTCCCATAGTCAAACCTAGAAGCATAAGACTGGGTGTAAAATAGTAATTGGTAAAAAGTGAAATTGCTTTCATTGTGCAATTTCCCGAGCATAAACAATACATACATCTAATGAAAACAAATGCCTCTATACTTAATAAGCACTATTTGCAATGAAAATTAATAAATAAGTAGCAATAATGGTAAATAGTTCTCACCATATGAATCCTGCCTTTTCTCTTTTGACTTGAGAGTGACATGAACAATAATAAAAATGTTTTTTTTTTTAGATTTCAGATTGAATTGAGCTTTGCCTTGTTGTAAGCATGTATTGTTATTTTAAGCTGCCAATTCTTCAATTATAACAAGACAATAGAGTTTCCATGTAGTGATGATTTGTTTATCTGACCTTTTGATCTTCATTTTTTACTTTTGAAAATGTTGTTGCCAATGGTTAAAACTTTGGATTGGTTCTGTATACTTCACATTAGAGATATCGATTGGCTAAAATATTGGGCCGATATTTGCACTCTTTTTGCATATCGGCGATTGGCATTAAATCTCGTTGAGTGCAAAGAGATACGACAAAACTTGACTACACAGCTCTTTTAAAGATTTACAGATTTAAATAATAGAACTTGGAGAAAATAATCAAAATTGGCCATACTTAAAGCTTATCGCCTTTTGTTTCTCTAATTTCTACACAATCGGAATCATCATTGCCCATGAAAAAGGTCATATTGCTTAATCTCTACTTCACATCATGTCAAACCATTTGTATTGTTTTCGATATTCCGTCTTTGGTTTTGCAATTCACTTCACATGGATGCATTCTTCTCTCACATTATTATCATTTATGGCAGGCTATTTGCTTGTTTTGGCTCATTATACTGTACATTCCCATTCCTCCCAAAACGGTAACGAAACACATCCAAGTGATTTCAAAATTACCTACAAATGTTTGGAATATTTTCTCCAGGGCGGTGAGCACTTGAGACCCAGCGTTTTCTCAGGTCCTCTCTCAGCTGTTGCCTAATGATAGAGAAGTCACGGAGATGTTGTAAATGTCTGTTCTTTATCTACGTGTCCTGTGGATGTCATTAGTCGTAATAGCCACCTGCCTTTGCCCTATCAGCTCGCGCAGCTCTCCTCCCACGCTTTTAACCCCGTCACCCCGCCACTACCCCGCTGTGGAGTATGCAAATGGGCCTGCTTCCTGCCCCCCTCATCTCTGAGCAGGGGTGGGATTTCCTCATTCCTCCTTTGGCTCCAAGGCCCTTTAAATGTAGTCTACCATCTGGAGTTATAGTGCTTATCTCGGGCCAGCCTCTGCGCCCTTTTATTGAACGGGCCGGGTGGGGGATGCATAGAGGTCTTTTTGAGTGAAAATCAAAACACGCATTCAGACGCATCAATGGTAACAGGTGTGATCGACAAAAACAGGGGGATAAAAGAGGAGAAGGCGTGAGGAGGAAAACAAATAGACAAAAGATGTGTTGTGATCAAGGGGCGTCTTGTGTTGGGACTTTGTCAACAAGAGGAGATAGCTCCTTCATTCGTTCATTCATAGGCTTTTTGTTTTTCCTGCTATACAGAGAGCATGTTCTAACAGTTTGGGGCCTGTTTTTTTTTGTTTTTTTTTCCATTCTGTTTTATATCTAGTTAGCAGTGATGACACAGAGCCAGCTACATTCTGATAATATACTACAATCCTTGTTTCTTTTATCTTTTAAGTTAGAAAACTATTGTGCTGTGATTGACTTGGATGCCTGTTTATTGATATTTTACAACTTTAAACTTTAAAGGGATAGTTTGGGTTTTTTGACATGAATCTGTATGGCATCCCGATCAATGGTTTTGTGCATCCACACTGACTTACCCCTGACAGCGTCCGGTGAGCCGAGATCCTGGCCAGTTTTGGTGCTGATGGAAGTAATATGGCAAGTTGGCCATAGTGAAAATAAAGTGTTTTTCTTCTCAAAACAATATGTGTTCAAAAAAGTGATACATTTGCGCCACAAAACCTTTGTCAATGAAAAAGTCAAACCTCATAATCGTTTGGCACTATTTTCTCTCTGTTCGTATCACTGCGCGTGGCCGCCGGGTGACAGACGCAACAAAAAACCTGAACTATCCCTTTAACTTTTAGATGTAGATTTACATGGTCACCTTTTTTATTGATTTAAAACTTGAATATACATAACCAGTGGTGGACTGTAACAAAGTACTGTACTTAAGTATACATTTTAGGTATCTGTACTTTACTTAATTAGATTTTAGAGTGGATACTTTTTACTTTTACTTCACTACATTTGAGAGAAGGTGTCTGTACTTTCTACTCCATTTTAGAACTGGACTGAAAAGTATTTTTGTTATAGTTTGAGAAATGCTGAAAAGTATGTTTTTACACATTTGTAGTTACACATTTATTTTGATGGGCGGCAGTAGCTCAGTTGGTAGAGCATTCGCCCACTGATCTGAAGGTTGGCAGTTCAAATCCAGCTCTCGACATAAACATCACAGTTGAGTGGTCATACTGAACAGGTTGGCTGGTGTGATTCCACTACAATGATGCTGCCGTTGTGTCCTTGGCAACTAAATTGCAGGACAAATCTTTAAAGTGCTTTGAGTGCTACCTATAGAAAAATGTGACCATTTACCATTTTGTTGTAGTTTGAGCTACAAACTACAAATATGTTGAACTACTGAACTAAATTCAGGACAAATCTTTACTCTACCTTACATTACAATTTTAAACAAGTACTTTAATAGTTTTATTTAAGTTGAGTCTTTTGTGTGATTCTTGATTTTTGCGTATTGAGTATTGTTTTGCCCTAGTATCTGTACTTTAACTTAGTAACAAAATTGAGTACATTTTCCACCATTGTACATAACTAAAATGACATCAAATAAAATATGGCATAAAAACAGTCAGTATTAAAAGCAAAAACTGAAACTGTTGTAAAAACATACAATGAAACCCCACCTGCAGCATGTACCCTAATCTTCTATCATGTAACAGGATTAGAAAGTTCTATTTTCCATCTTATTGTTTTGTGTAAGGTAGTGCACTGTTTAACATTGGTTGTAGACAAACCAAGCTATGGTCCAATCCCAACCCTGACCAGTGCCACCTGTTACAGTGATTAGGTTTTGGGTTTGATTTCTGGACTAAGCCCCTTGTCTGTGTGGGGTGCTTGTTCTCCCTGTGTCTGGGTAGTTTCCTCTGTGTGCTCCAATTTCCTAAAATCAGCATATAGGTCACATGGTACTTGACATGTATCTCAATATGTTTACTTCTCATAAGACTGACTGACATTTCTTCTTTTTTGCAGCATGGTGAGATGGCACGTGAGCAGTATTTGTATTCAAAATATTATTGTCACTGATGCTTCACCTGCCACAATACGTTTGCGCATTTCCCTCTTGTGTGGGACATGAACCCTGTTTGATGTTTGGACATAAATAATCTACGCAGGCGTCGTCTGGGCCTCTCTGCTGCAGGTCCAACTTCCTGTCTGTACGGAAGCACTTTCTCTCCCCCCACATTAGAGTAAGAGACACGTATCAGCCTCTAAAATCCTAAGGGACATCAGTCATTTTTCAGTGTGTGGATTGTAATCAAATGTCTATTGTCCAGATGGTGTTAGGGCTCA